GTATGTATGTATGTATGTATGTATGTATGTATGTATGTATGTATGTATGTATGTATGTATGTATGTATGTATCTATAGGAGAGAGAGAGAGAGAGAGAGATACATAGATAGATAGAGATAGATGATAGATATAGATGTTAGATGGATGGATGGATGGATGGATGGATGGATGGATGGATGGATGGATGGATGGACGGACAGATGATAGACAAAGAGAGTGAGTGAGAGATGGTAGATAGACGGTAGATTGGATAGATGATACGTAGATAGGTAGGTAAGTAGATGATTGATAGATTGAAGAGACAGACAGACAGACATTTCTCACCTCCAGCTTGTCCATCCAAAGCAGAGATCTTGGGGAGACCGAGCATCGTGTCGTCGGGGTTTTGGGGACTCTTGGGGCGATCGGGAGCCTCCCCGTTCTCAGCAGAGACAAAGATTTCGGCAGAATAGGTGGTCTTCTGCGGGCTTTCCGTGGTGATTTGAGTGATGGCATCCGAAGACATCCACTCGGTTTGGGAAGAAGCCGTCGCCTTCAGGCTCTCACTTGCCCTTGAGCTCCGTGTCCCGGCGTCTGCTACACCACCGCGGATTGTCCGGGACTCTTGAACGTGCTGGTGTAGGGCTGGTTCACCCCCCTCTGGAACCTCTTGAGATGATGCCTCTCGGGAGAAGTAGGAGGATCCTTGAGCCTTTCGCTTCGATACTGTGGGCTTGGAGGACGGACCGGGGACATCCGAAGCGTTTGGCTTAAGAACCTCCACCTGCCTCCCTTCTGGACCAGCTTCCGCGGGTCCAAAAAGGTCCAATTCCACACGCTTGGGGGAGAGAGTAAGGTGGACACCAGACAAGGCTTTCCTTGTGGGCGATGGAGGCGACACCGGCGGCACAGCTGTGGAAATACAATCGAGGGAAGCGAAGTGTAACAGAGGAGTACTGCCATCGCCTCGACGCCTGGGCTTGTGTAAATACGAATCAGACGTGGACAAATCTTCTCGTATCGGCGTCTTTTCTTTGCGTGCGGGAAAAGGGATCTTCGGAGCAGCACATCTTGCATCGCCGGCCGAGAAATTCTGGGGACGCACATCGCCCGTCTTTGGCGGAGGCAATGGCCTTTCCAGGTTCGATCTGTCAGCGTAAGTATCGTCCAGCGTTTTCGCGTAGCGCCTCTGCTCGGCCCGACTTGGATCAGAAGGGTGCTCGTCCTCGTCGGTCTGTTGAACGAGGCCCTTCGGTTCGAGGCCTCTTCTTGGGGATTCCTCCGGAGAGGGGCCCCAATCTTCTCGGCGAGGGTCGTCTCTGGCCGCCTTGAGAGACCCAAGGGGAGGAGGACAGACTTTGGCGGAAGGAGATGCCACGTTCTTCTCTGACGTGAAGCCGGCGGGAGGGCAAGCTTTGTAACTTTGCAGCGGCGAGCTGTTCACCTTCTGCCGTTCCTGGGGGTTCGCGGGCCGGGTTTCCGGAGATACGAGATCGGGAGCGGGGGAAACGTCGGTGAGGACACTCCGGAGGATGCGGGAAGGAGAAGGCGACCTTCTCCGCGAGGCAAAAGTGATCGAGGTGATTTGAATGGCAGCTTCAACGGACGTGGAGCTCTCGGAGAGATGCAATGGGGCGGCTACGCTCCCTTCCTCTTGCGTGGGGGGCTTTGAGGCCCCCCGGAGATTCGTGTCCAAGGGAAGGTGAGAATTGGCTTTGGAGTCCGAGGCATTACGGGGAGGTGGCTGTAGTTGGCTGGAGATAGGAATGAGGGCACCGCGAGAGAGTTTAACCTCTGGCTCGGGTGTTAAGGCGCTCTCCGTCGCAGGGGCCGCGTTTTGCCCGGAGAACTCATCTAGGTCCAAACCATATTTCTGAAGGGCCTTTTGCAGGTCGGGGCCTCCTAGGTTCTGCAAGGAGCCCAACTCTACCGATGCAGCCGGGCTGACGTTTGGAAGCTTCTGGAAGCTGGTGCTTCTCCATTGCTGGTTCTATTCAGAATTCAAAAAGGAAGAGATTCACAACAGGCAGATAAGAACACTAGCAGACGGGGAGTTTAAATAGGAGTTTCTAAGGCCTATCTGGCAAAATTGGGGGCGGGGGGCGGTGTGAGTTGAATTTTTCATTTACCGTCAAATTCTCCGAGGAGAAGTACAGAGTTTGGGGACATTTTGAGCGACTTTGGTCCAGGGGTAAAAGCACTAGGCTAGAAAGCAGGAGACTTTGGGCCAATCACCAGGAGACGGTGAGTTCTAGTCCTGCCTTAGTCATGAAAGCCAACTGGGTGACTTTGGGCCAATCACCAGGAGACAGTGAGTTCTAGTCTTGCCTTAGTCATGAAAGCCAACTGGGTGACTTTGGGCCAATCACCAGGAGACAGTGAGTTCTAGTCTTGCCTTAGTCATGAAAGCCAACTGGGTGACTTTGGGCCAAACACCAGGAGACAGTGAGTTCTAGTCCTGCCTTAGTCATGAAAGCCAACTGGGTGACTTTGGGCCAATCACCAGGAGACAGTGAGTTCTAGTCTTGCCTTAGTCATGAAAGCCAACTGGGTGACTTTGGGCCAAACACCAGGAGACGGTGAGTTCTAGTCCTGCCTTAGTCATGAAAGCCAACTGGGTGACTTTGGGCCAATCACCAGGAGACAGTGAGTTCTAGTCTTGCCTTAGTCATGAAAGCCAACTGGGTGACTTTGGGCCAATCACCAGGAGACGGTGAGTTCTAGTCCTGCCTTAGTCATGAAAGCCAACTGGGTGACTGGGCCAATCACCAGGAGACAGTGAGTTCTAGTCCCGCCTTAGACATGAAAGCCAACTGAGTGACTTTGGGCCAATCACCAGGAGACAGTGAGTTCTAGTCTTGCCTTAGTCATGAAAGCCAACTGGGTGACTTTGGGCCAATCACCAGGAGACAGTGAGTTC